CTGGTACCAATTAACCGACCCCGGAGGGATGGAAGGCTTGGTTGGCCCGGGCGACTCACGACCCAGGATTTGATCCCCGGACCGCTCGCGTGGTAGCGCGCCACTTGTCCACTACACCACTTCCGCCCCAATCCTTATACAACTGATAAGGACTGATAAAAGGCGCTAGAACGCAAGTGTAGCGAAATCAATAACGCGCGGCCCAGCAGCACGCAGCTGCTGTCTTCTAAATGTAATAATGTAAGAAATGGGATGGGAACACATTTGGTGGGTGACAAAGCGAGATAACAGCTGATGAGGACTGATAAGAGCGATTAGCTCGAAACGGAGAAGTCACTAAATTTGCGAGCGCGCGATAAGGAAAACACATTCTATTCGCGATGTCGTCGTCAGCATCCTTTCGACCGCTAATTTGCCCGAGCTCCTTAAAATGCTCGATGTTAGCGGAAATACGATAATCAGTGGTGTTCCCATTCCAACGTCACCGGCATAAGAAATTGTCTAACCGCTGGAACATACAATATCCGAGGCATGGGATTTATTCAAGCTATGGGCTGACAGCGAGTAACCGAAAAAAGTTGTATTGCTCATTTTATTCTCCAAGCTTAATCTGCCGCTAGATCGTATAACTTTCTGGAAAATGAATTTATTTCATGGGTGTCACCTATGAGAAATTACAGCTTCTACCAGAACAATAAAAACTCCTCATTCATAACACAAGTAAAATGCATTAAATGCATGCGTTTGTTCAACTCAAGGTCCGGCTAGCTCTGTTAGAGCCTACTTTGACATGCGCGCGGTAGCTAGCGATGCCAAATTGGTAAAATAATATTAAATACAAAATCCACCCCTCAACAACGACCGTGGAACATCTCAACAACAGCGCATTAAACAAAAAATGATAGAGACTTCCAATATGCCCCACAATGGTTTCCTATTTTAATAAGCTAAAACTCTTACGGTATCGAAGATATTCTATCATTGTGCAACAGGTGAGCGTTGACAAAGAGGGCAAAACTGAAAAAATCCAAACTTATGGTTAAATGTGTGGAGCGTGGATCTTTTTGAGAACAAGAAAATGATGTACCTTTGACTTGGTCCCAAGACAGGTTTTGGAACCCCGCGCAACTGTGTTCTCAGGACCACTCCCTGCACTCCAAGTTCACTGATTAGCACAATTTATGTGTTCGTGTCGCACCGCGATATAGCGACAAGCGATGTATATCTACCCTCTGCATGTAGCACAGACATGCTCACGCAAAGAAGAAAAACTTTGCGGGCAAGAAATACCTACGGTAGTACATAAAAGAAGTGGATTTAATGAAGGCTTCTCGAAACATTATCCGTCCTCACGAGAAATTCGATACACATCCAGCAGTGGTGAATAAAGATATGGATGTCAGTATATATGAATATACAGCAGCAACAAAATGATGAGTCTGCTCTTGCTAGGAATTTGAGAACATGCATAATAAGGAATTGAAAAGCTTCGTGTTTAGTTATACAAATATAAAGTTCAATAAAGTAATAAAAGAAATTAGGGAAGGAAAGACTGCTTCAAACTTTGAAGTGCTTGCATCAGAGCAGTGGTACGGCAAACTAGAGGTCGAAAAAGCAAAAATTATTAATATTCCTAGCATCCCTACCGAGCGGGTTATTCCGGCTGTGGGGCACCTTTCGCAACGATACACGAGCACTAACACACTTAACTCCTCTCACCGTCGGACTCGGACCGTTTAGAGGCATAGCGGGACATCACATCAACGACAGCACCGATGAGACTAGGTCAGTAGTGAAACCAACGTTGCAGCATGACATCAGCATCGAGAAGGCTTGGACATTGGTGAAACCAACGTTGAAGCAAGGGCCCACTGTGATAGACTGTTTGTTGTGGACGAACATTAGGTGATCTTCGAGTATCATTTAATTCCGAAAAACTCGAAAACATCTCCATAATGGAACCATGTGACCTGAGTATGGTTCAGTTTGTGTTGCCTGGGAACAAGCCTTCTCCACGACCACCCAAGTAACAGTGGTCATCGGGACTATTGCGAGAATGTGGGATCAGCAGTTCCAGCAGTTCCTGATGTTCCTCCCAAACGTTTGGAAAGGAGCCGCTCTACAACACGTGCCTCAGTCAACCTCAGAGGCAGCAGAACTAGCCAAAACTGTTAATTTGTTAGCAGGACGATCGCGGAGTTCACTTATGACCCCGACGCCAACCATAACATCCGAAGCATGGTATCAAAGACATCAAGACATCTTTATGGTTGACGCCCACATGCTTGACGAGCCCACTCGAATTCGACTCTTTCTTCGACAAGCTGATTGCTGCAGCCTATGGTAAGCTACAACGCAACGAGATATCACCTTCAAAGAAGCCGCCTCCTCACTCATGAGCCTGTTCGGACCACAGTAGTTTGCAAGAAGCTCACCAAGAACCCAGACGACGACTACTCTGATCCGCACAACGATACTTCCACCTGCAGATTTCTCGAAAACTTGCATCCGAAGATGTTTTCGAAAGAGGCTCTGAGGTGGAATTGTGAGTCATTCGCACGCCGTTCTGTATGGTGACACAGAACTCAGTTCGGGAGAACATTTTTATCTTATTTTCTGAAAATACTCGCTCTGCCTATGTCGCAAAATCATAGTTCCACCACATGTTTCTCCGCTGCATTTTATTTTTACCCAATCAAATTTTGAAATTATTATCCCATTCAAGTTCCTTAGCTTATAGCAAAGGCAAAACCGCTGTCAGACTTCCGTAAAAGGAAAATCCTAGCAAAAGAGGCGCAGGAATTGTCGAAGTGTCAGTTCATGCTGCGCTGAAATTTGTTCGGAGTCACCTCATAACGAACAATTTCCGTGCACTTATTTCTTTTCTGGTCTGTAGGCTTTCTCTAACCGAGTTATGAATATTTTCATTGAGCACCGCTTTTTTAGAGAACGCCCCGCCCACCGAGGGTGGGTCTCCTCAATTCGATCTGGCTTACCAATGCACACCTATACCCACTTTTGTCCCCAGTCTCGAGGCTGTTTTGTGACTGAATTTGAAATCATGGTCCTCAGTACCACTCATTTCGACGCACGCCACGCCCACTGTGGGCGGGGCTCCGCTTAGCTGACGTATGTTTTGTACTTGTACTCGAATATGGTACACCCATCCTAAACGGCGATAAACAGTTTTGTCCCGCAGGTGAATTTCGGTAATTTCATGATCTAGTGATTGCGGCATAACGACAAATTCACCTTCCTTATCATTACCATCTCAGACATGCGTATGAAATCACTCGTATGGAATCTTAACTCACGCAATTCTACAAGCTTTTGACATTGCTGCCGTATAAGTCTGTATTTCTAAGCCATTCGTAAGAGGCAATTAATTTCGGTATAAAAAGACATTGCAGTAATCGTCATTTCCAAATGACCAGCGTTCCAGCGTGGCAGCGGGTGAAACGGTCAGTGAGTCTATTTTTGACGCTTTTTCTCTCTCGCAACAGCGTGAAAAGTAGACTTTCGAACGGTTTCACCCACTCCACGCTGTATTGGTCATTTGGATAGGATCACTGCAATGTCCTCTTATACCGAAAACAGTCAACTTTTACGTTTCGAGCGGTTCCTGACAGATGTCGGAACCGCAAGAGAGGATGAGGCGCGTGGTGAGGC